GGTTTGTTTTTAGTTTTATGTGGCTACTTTATCAAATTCCTATTTTGCTATCCTCTATATATTTACATATTCCCATGAGTAAACTCAGCTGGCTCCAATCTTATTCTCCACTCTTCCCTCAGTATATAAACTCACTGACTTGCAGTGCTCTTCACTGGTTTCTTTGCTTTGCTGCCTGTAAACCATGTCCTGCTCTTAGTTTCCCTGCAAGATCTCTATTATTTAAACTGCTTACTTCCATCATTGTTAGTCTCTGTGTTTCTCTTCCTTTACAAACATCATCATGACACCATATTCACTACATGGTGGTAAATTTAATGTTTTACATTTTACCCTTTCTAATTATTACATTTTGGCCCACTCCCAATACACCCCCTACTTGCAACCACTAGCCCTCACCCACTACCCACACAGTGTGGAATTGAAGCCACAACAGTTAGGGCTTTGTAATCTTTCCTAAGAATTAGGACTGTGTATTTATGCATGCACATAAGGTACGTGCCACCTTAAGAAAAGCTTTTTTATAAAAAACAAAACAAACAAAAACCAATTGGACCTAAAAATGGAAAAAATGGATTTAGGTTGAGCTTGGTTACCATCCTTTTCCCTTTATCGGGTATGATTTGTCTTTCAAAGTGATTATTAAACACAGGTGATAATTTGTAGCATAATAAATTCATTCCAGTTTATTTATATAGCGTCAATTCACAACACAAGTCATCTCAAGGAACTTTACAGTTCTCCAGATGATACAAACAAACTGATTCAAGTTTTCTACCTAAAGAAAACCAGTTGGTTGCATTGACTCATTGACTCGAATGCAATCCCTCACACTAAGCGTGCTTGTAGCGACAGCAATAAATGTGATCTACTGGACTTTGTTTCCAAGTTTGAAGACATTTCGCTTCCCATTAAGGAAGATTTTTCAATAATAATAAAAATAGTTTTTATCTTTTTTTGGAATGACTATGACCTGGATGACTCAGAATCTTCACCAGTATAATAAATGTGCTAGTTACAAAACCGTAGGACAGAATCACACAGTGGCATGCCATTTTCTTTAATCAAAATAAATTAAAGCTAAGAGAAAATATTGTTGTAAAAGGATGAAATGGGGAATGCTTTAAAGATGTTTTTTCTAGGTAGCCTTTTTTGATTGGGATTGCATCTTGGAAAAGTTCACAAAATCCACACATTACTTTACTACATGATTCTGGACCATCCTTTTCAGCTGAGTTCACTTTTGTTCTTTCACTTTAAAAATATATACTGAACAGGTTTCCACAAGCAAGAATAAAACTGTCTGAGTTATATCCATTGTAAGAGCTTGAAATAAATACTGTATAACTGAGGCATGCTGGGGGACCATGTGTGCGATGTATTGTTGCCATAGAAATTTGTTAACTAAATGGGGCGTGAAGGCTTAAATATATTGGAGATCTCATTAGACCTAATGGTGTACACTACTATCTGCTGCTGTCACCACAGGTAAAAGAAAATAAACAAGAACTGACTCAACAACCATGTTTTCTTTTAACCAACAAAGTGCTCTAGTAGTAAGTGCTAATAATAAAGAAATCGTGAAAAGTGACAATTGTGGCTTTTCTTTAGTTTTTTTTTTCTTCCTATAAATAATCTATGCTTTCCTCTACCTTAAAAAAATTATTCCAGGTTAAAAAATAACATTTGCACCAGTGATCACCTAAAATTGACAATGACCTTGCTTGTGTTTGTTTACAAAAGCATGAGCATTACTAACGACTAAACCACAGGTGTTTCACAAAGTTTGCTGAGAGCTGTGCATAGGTAGAAAAATAAGAGATCAAAACTCTAACCATATGGCCAAAGGAAATTCTAAATTTATATGCGCTTGTTCAAACTATGGCTCATGCAATAAGTCAAAAAATTTTAGAAAATGAGATAGTGTTTACATTTTCAGCTATTTAAACTGTGCATAAATGTGTTGAAAATTAATAAAATGTATTCTTAGCAGTACTGAGATGTTCAGCAGTCTTTGGAAACACTTTCTTTCCTTAATGTTCTCACCATAGCGAGCCTGTTAGTCATTCAATGTATTCACTCCTTTCTTCATCTTTAATGTGCTGGCTATGCAATCCAAGTCCAGCCTTAAACAGTATAAAACAAGACATAATTTCTACAAAGTGTATAAAAGTTGCATATTTTTTAAATCCTAAATACCACATCCCAAAAACGTAGGTATGATGAGAAACTGACTTGGATCTGTATATCATTATTGTTTTGATTGGTTTTGTTCAGTTTTTTTGTTACAGTTAAATATTGTGTTTTACCACTTGGTATGTATTGTAGAAAGCTCTTCACCAGTCTCTTGCTGTCTTTGATTTTCCACAGCTGCATCCTCCAAAGGACCCGGTCTGCCTGGACTGGGTCCTTCGTAGGCCGTGAAAATAAGAAAGCCAGAAGAGTTTGGCCAACAGGTCCAGCCTTCTCTGGCTTTCACCAACCCTCATTCAGCGTACACTCAGTCGCATAGCAACCACGGCAGTTGATTCACAAAGCAGGCAAAGAATGGATGCCAAGCTTCTCACTACTGTTCTGAGATATTGGATTCTGTGCTTAAAGATGAGCAAACACCTTTGCACAGGGACATATAAAACCTTTCAATAATCCAAACATTACCATAACATTCATACATTCATAACATATGTGACCAACTAACCATTAAAGTTGACTATTTTCATCAATTAAGACAAAACTATTCACATACTTGTATTATATTAAACTTCACTTACAATATTCACCATTCTTTTTCTTCTTAGCAAGGAGCAGCCGTCTAGCTTGTCTTCGCAATGAATCATGGAATATCCAAGGCCATGCAGGATACAGGGGTTTTGTCATTACAAACAGCCGAAAAGAAGGCAGCATTTGTGAGCCACATACGAAGAAGTCTTTCAATCTGAAAAGGCCACGGCTCCACGATTGGATGTAACTGGCAAATAAATCTGGACCTTTGGAGTATACAGCCGCCAGATTCAAAAACAGCCTTTGTTCGCTTCGGTTGCACCAGTCTTCTTCCACGATCCAAAACATGACTGTTAGGTTAATTTTTGCCTTTCTTTATCTCTTAAGTTATGAGGGCATACAGTATGTGCATATTTTTGCTTTTTCCTGTGTCTATAGTGAGCTTTGATGGAACAAGAATCAGTCCAGGGAGTGGGTATAAATGATGGATGCCTTTTGGATCATACATCTGGAAAGGATGCCTGGCTGGCTGCACACTTAGAGGCAGCATTATTGCAGTCAACCTACTAAAAGCTTCCCTTTAATGATCTGCCAGTAAAAAAGTCAATGTTTGTTGATGTAATACAAGTGAAAAGGAAAATGACCTTTCTGATCAACAGTAGCCATGTTTTAACATGAGAGTATGGAGAGAAAATTAGACAGATGCTGGGATTGAGTAGGGGAAGATGCCATTGGGTCTGAGGATTACCAATGTTCAGTTTGGAACTACCTTCACCCCAGGGACAATTAAGATTGTTTTTCTTTTTGTTTTCTTTTACATTATTCTATACTATATTCTTTTATTTTTGGATAAGTTGTGCCGACATTTGATTTCCCAACTAAGTACCAAACCTTGTTTTTTGTGTACTATTTTACCCTTGCACAGATTTGGATGGAACCTTTCTCGAATATCCAACAAGTCGAAAGACATATATTAAATTAAAAAAAAGTTGGAATCTAAGTGTTAGGATTTATTTTATTGTGCTGTTTTTTTTTAGTCAACTGCCTCTTTATGTAAATATTTGACTAAGAAATCTAGATTATAATAATGAAGCAATAAAGAGATTGGTTAAGCATGTTTCTTAAAAGAAACACAACTGAACCTGTACCATAAAATAGGACTGAGGTCATGTAAGATCAGCTTGATGCTCATACAAACAATTTAACTGATAAAGTCATCAAAAGCCATCCTATAAAAAACTGTATGTTAATTTCCAAAGGCAGGTACAGATCAGATAACCTGTTAAAATTATAAAGCATTTTTTCTTTTTCCCCATTCTGAAAAATTAAATTTTGTAGCTGCAGATCTGAGACAAATCATTCAGTTCATCACCTGAAACTGAAGCTTACATAACAAAACCTTGTTTAAAGATAAAAAGATAAAATTCCACCAAATAATCAAATATCACAAATTTCTCCCTATCATTCAGAGCTTTCGTGAGTTTCATAAGAGGAACATTAATGCAAGTAGGTGCATTAATATTAAAAAAGGTATTAGATGGGATGGAAACAGAAAAAAAACATCAGCGGGTAGGGAAGACTGTGGAATAGGGAGTTAACGTTAGAGCAGGAAATGTCTGGGTAGCAGTCAAGGCAGAACAGTGGCTTTATGATTGCAGAAAGCGCTGTAGGGCTCAAGGGAATGCCCTGCACTAAGCGAAGGAGAAACACACATTCTTACAGACCCATATAAAGTAGGAACACACTGACTAACAGAACAAGCCAATCTGTGCATAAACTTGAGCACATAGCACTAAAAATAAACATGACGGTGGATTTGAAAATAAAACAGGATGGAGACAGCTATGAAAACATACAGAGGAAAACAACTCTTGCAGACAAAATTATAAAAAATATAAAAAACAAACTGAAAGTTAATGAAAATCTATAAAAGTGACTCAGTTTATGTTTGTAGGATTAATGACTAGTGTTGCGCTGATGCCATTTTTTGGCCCCAATACCATACCAATACAATCTGTTGTGTATATATATATATATACAACTGCATACAACTTGGATGTAAAATAATTGCCATCATTGCTTTGTCAAGCTGCTGCCTACCTTTGTGAAAAAGACTAATATAAAGTGAACCCAGAACAACTTTTTGTTGCCTACTTGGAATGGGTGACAATAGTTGAATAAACTTTTAGCTCTCCTATTTGTCGGTTCTGGCCGATACAACACCACAATTTTAGTTCACACTAATAATGTCCACTCTAAAAAAAAACTAAACATTTTACCTTGACAGGATCCGCTGATCTCCTCAAAGCCTGGTTTGCAAACACACTTCCCAATGGGCACCAGCCATTCCCCTTCTGTGCTGCAGTGCATCCGTGGTGGCTCATATAAGGGGACAGAGTTATTAACACAGTGGCCAACCACCTCAACCAGCTGTGAGGCCTCCGAGGCAGGAATAGTGTCAGGAAATTCAGCCAAACTCTTCACCAAGAACGGGCAGCGTTTGTAGAATACCCGCACCGACACTAAAGCAATGCAGGCCCCTAAATCTTGAAAGGCCAAGTAGAAGCCCTTCCTGGTCAAAGGACCCAAATCGCGGACTTCTGTGTTAAGCTTCATGACACGGTCCCCCAGGTCGAGCTCGGTAAAGCTCTCATCAGCTGCTATGGTATCAATTTTGATGTATCGGCTCTCTTTCATTGCCCTGTCTTCTTCTTCAGTTATACCAACACCATCACTCATCTTGCCTTCCTCCATGTCGTCCTCATCACCGTCCGTTTCATAGTAATACATGTTAAAAGTCTCCTTGCAAGTCCCGACCCCACCAGGCAGGCTGTTGCAATCTCTAAGTGTGAACTTGAGTTCGATGTATACTCGCTGGGCACCCTCAGTTAAAATCCAGTTAGTGTGAAGCCAATTGTTTTGGTTCTGCTCCAACACGCGGCACACTTGGTAGGTGTGGATGGGGGCATAGTCTTCGTCTACTTCCCCAATCTCTTCCCACTGTGGTAAAGAAAAGAAAGACAAAGTAAACATCTAGGGCAACTCCTTTAAGTGAAACTAATTTTTCCTTATTTTTTTAAGTGTTCTAATATAAATACACATTTTCAAATATGTAAAGGAAAAAATAATAGGAAATATACTGATCTCACTTTCACAAATTACGTTATCCTGCTAAACGCTTGAGGTGCAAGGTGGCTTTACTTGAAAATAAGCTGCTCTTGTGCATCTCCATCAAATCAGTTTTAGGATAAATATCAAGGCATTTAAGAGTTTTATATGGATGAATATGTTTAATTAAATCCCAGCGTCATTAAAAACAGTTCAACAAAGCAAAAATGTAAACACGGGTCAATCAGCACACTCTCAGATGTGGGGGCTGCAGCATTTAGATGGGGAGCAGCAGCCTAGTGCTTAGGGCATAGAGCTTGGAATCCTGAGGTTCTGATTCCGAGGCCCACTCCCACAGACTGCCACGTTGGGTCCCTGAGCAAGATCCTTAACCCCACACTGCTCCCCGGGCGCCCCACGATGGCAGCCCACTGCTCCCCAAAAGTAAATTTCTCCAATGTGAGATCAATATTATTATTTATATGTGAGCAGCTAAAGGAGCTCTTACAGCTTGTGGATATTTGCACTACATTTCAAGGATCCAGTGCTGTTTGTGAAAGAAGATTTAGTTTAATGGATGGTATCCAAACAGCATCCATAAAGCTCTTAAAGTGGCATATTTGAACAAATATTGGAGTTAGGACAGATAGATATAGAGAAAATAGATTTAAAGCATATTTTTAAAAATTCTAGTGACATGTAGGTTTTTAACTGTATAGATATTAATCATGAAATGTTTATACTGTTTATACTTTGTCGTAGAGTTACAGGAATTTATACAGTGTCACAAGCTTTTCATTTCATCGTAAAAAATTTTACTATCTTATGGGAACAAGTTATATCTGAATCATGTAATGTCTTATTTCTTCCAGAGCAGAACCTTCATCCTAGCCAAAGCAAGACCTAAATATATAGCAAACTACACATCTCATGAAGATTTCTTTTTTATTTTGTTTTTTATCCTTAAGTGGGCCAAATCACTTAAATTAAAAGTAAACTAATCAAAAGGACTGCTGTAATACATATTCTTTTAGTAAACCATGTAACTTTCTATAATCCCAGGTGTATAACTACTTTATAATTCGCGTGTGGCCTCAGTGTGCACATCTGATGTTGCTCACAGTGGTTCTCAGTGTACTCTGGGGGTTTGTGTGTATGCTCAGTAGCATAAAAAATTAGAGGGAACCCTGTTTGGACTAAGGTGTAAATTGAGTTTAGGTTGGGTTAGGTGTGAACTCATAATGGTTAGGTGCAGGGTAAAGGTCTCTGGCTGCAGAAATGCGTAAAAAAATGAATTAAAATCGATGGAAACTCCCCACGAGGATAGAGGAACTTGATTGCGTGTGTGTGTGTGCGCGCTCCTATCTGCACATCAGAGTGAGGAAAATTTTTTTACGATTTCACCATCAAATCACCACCAAATCAAGGAGTCAAGTATTGCAGTTTGCTACAGTAGTCCCTACAAGATTTTTTTTTTTTTTTTTGTCAATGGTTACAGTTAGATCTAAGATTTTATCTAATTTTATTAATAATTCCCCAAAAGTGATTATAAGTTAATTTCTGCCCATGTCTGCAAACATGTAAATTATTCTGCAAGCATTCATGTGTGGGCCTTTGTATCTGCATTCACACTAGTGCGCGCCTCAGACAGCAGCATTAATTCCCTCTGAGGGTCTCCTGGGATGTGGCTATTATCTGCATCACTAGCACTCTCCCATGGCTAATACAGGAGCTTCATTATGTCACTGTAATATGGCTAGAGGGACAAAACTATGATCTGGTGTTATAGCTTAATAGCCTATATTAATCAATCCTTGCAGTAGATGATCTAAAACCTTCTGTCTTTGTCTTTTCTCTCCGTCTTGTTCACCATCTGTCTGATACTTTTTTTTTTTTTTTTTAGCTTGCACTGCCGTGGTTGAGTCTTTTGTTTTATGGACACCATAAATCAGCTGCTCAAGCATTTTTGAGAGACTGTGGGTAATTTATTTACTAAGACATTTCTGTGTAACCAAAATCACATGCTTTTGAGATGGCATTTATAATGTCTTGCAGCACATTTTTTTAAATCTTATTGGAAAAAATTTATTTTTGATACAAGGGCGTGTGAAAGAAATCAATCAGTTTTACTAACAGACAATTTCAAAGTACAAGATCAGAAATAAGTGCATTACAGTATATTAAGAGGTATGAAGTCTACGAGACAATTATTTGCATGGGTGTGAGCCCGTGTTTCTTTGAGACTTCAGACCAGTTACTACTAGTGCAGACATAAGCTTCTTACTGGTTAGATCACACAGATCCACTGGGCTGCTCTGAGCTTTACACAGCTTAAAAAATACACCACCCACACACAAAGTTACTGGGCTACCAGCTATTATTGGCATCCCAGCATGCTATTGAACAGATGACCTTCCATTTTTTTTGCCTAGAGCCAAATGAGTTCAGCATCCATGAATGTCATTACTACAGAGAGTCTTCAGAATCTAGAGTCTGGCTGTTTCTGAGATTTTTAGCTATAAATCTATACATGCTTTAATGCAAGTTGAATTTAATTATTTTAGGTAGATAAAGTGCTCCATGCAACACAGTACAATTTACATATCTGCCTGAAAATAGAGTAGAAAATTGGATAAAGTGACTTAAACACTTGACTTGAATAATTTAGTTGAAATATTTTCACTTTGAGTTAATTACCGTAGTTGCTTTTTAGTTAATATGCTGGGCTGTGCATACAGGCCGATACCTGTTAACAATCCAATGTTACTGCTGAATGAATAAACCGTATACCTTGCCATGTGAGTTAAGGCATGAGGCTTGATATAAACATTGTTGCTCATTGTACTCTCAGCCGCCGTCACTCAGGGCTCCATGTGTCCTTAGGCGCTTATCAAAAATTGTGGCATTTAGTTTACCAAGAATTTCACCAACCCTCATAATTTTCAAACAGCATACATTGCTTATTGCAGTTGTTGTTGTTGGGATACTAAGTTTGAAATGTTTCCAAATAGCAGACTTGGCTCGATCCGGAGGTTGCACATTGTTGCTCTGTGTTTGCTCATCATTGGCTGCTCTGCTGGATCAGAGTACTGGATCAGCTTCCTTTACCAGATATCAGACCCAGCTATTTAGTCAACATCAGAGCAGATATCCAATCTAAATATCAGATCAGTACATAAGATGATGGTTGGAACAAACAAAAAAATAAAACAGATGCAGATTCTCAACTTATCAAACACAAACTTTAATACAAATGTGAATTTGCATCTCAGAGATAAAACATTTGATGTCAGAGCATTACTGATATAACTCCAAACTTCCCTGGTTGAAATTTTATCTTGTTTTAACGACTACATTTCTATGTTGGGATCCAGACTTGGCCGAGTTCTACATTTTCTGCTTATAATATTTATGAGGAGTTTGAATGCTTCTAAATCAAACTGGGATCAAATAAATATTTGAAAAGAACACGGATAAAAAGTTTTGGACTATAAACAGAAATGTTGTTGAGGTATGATAAAGCTTTGTATAAAGGACTTGAAAAATATTACCTAATTTGTAAAAAGAAAAGGGTACTGGAAATTTTTCAAATTTATATTTACAGAAAAAAGTTAACAAGCTGACCGGGAAATGTGCATCAATGTTTAAATGTGAATTAAATTAATGTAAATCCCTTTTTATTGTTCCACAATGGGGAAATTCACTCTCTGCATTTAACCCATCCCCTTGAGGGAGCAGTGGGCTGCCACTGTGCAGCACCAGAGGAGCAGTGTGGGTTTAAGGGTCTTTCTCCACAACCATAAAGGGTTCTAAGAGGGAAAGGAAAGGTCCAGCTCTTATTGTTGATTTAAGTAGCAGTGGTAGTAGCACCTTGGCTTTAATTCAGTATCAGCAACAACTGCTTTATCCTGACAACATGGGTTCAGTGTGTTTTACAAACCATGTAAAACACCATTCAATTTAAATAACATTCCTTTAATGATTATATGACTAAATAGGTGTTGTAATGCATTATAAATAAATTGCTAATTCATATAACAAATAGAGACTAGGTGAAATGCATACGTCTGCAAATGTAAACAGACAACATGGTGACTAATCACCTATTTTATGCCTTACCTCATATTGAAGGGAAATTCCAGGTTCATTTGAAAGGATTGCACAGGTTATACAGCTGACACAATAATCTGAGTGTCTGGACTGCCTTTTTTACATGTATATTTGGTGGTTACATAATCAAAAATAACCTCATCAAATAGGAATCATCAACAGTGTTGAATACCGAAAATATTGTACGGTCTGACTTTACAAGCAAATATGGATACTTGAAATAAACAGCTAGCACAAAGCTCAAGCAGTGATGTTCTTGCTTTACAATAGTTGGAAAACATAAATATTGGATTTTAGTTGTCTTAAATTTTTATAAAAATGCATTTTATATAGGGAGATATAATAGTTCTTTTGATTCTCCACTTTATGCTTATAAATTGAAGCATTCTGCGTATTATGTGGGGCTTAGATCATTAGATGTAACACAAAAAGTCTTGCACACTGCATGACATGACTAGCTAATATATTATGTCAGGACAACCCATAGAGTTAAGTATGGGATTTGGTATGGTAATTTTTTCCCTTTTAGAATTACATTTAATTACTTCCGATTAAATAGCATAGTATTGCTATATTGTACAATAAAAAAGTAAATGTATGCTTTAATTTAACCAAGTTTTAAAAGCCAATAAAATAAGTGTGTGCTGATAAAAGCTTTACATATATATCTTTAACCTTCCACATTACCTCCTTTCTACCTCCTACTTCGCCTTTTCCCAACACAACAGTCCCTATAGGCATCCCTGCAGAGCCTCATTAGTGTGTCTGTTGAGTTTTTCTTA